GGGGACCATGGGGACTTACAGTACCTTTGCTACCTGCATGGACCCAAGTAGGATGATCATTTGAAATATTTATACCTTGTGATGGCAAAATCAATACAGTCAAACAGGACATGCTTGACGGTGATTCTCTCATCACAAGGGATACAAAACGGAGCATCCTCACCTTTAGCAGTGTCCTATCCCTGGAATCCGTGACCACTTTGTTCCTACCTTTTTTTGTATGATTGATTTGTTGAGCTGACATGTTTAGCTAAAAAATTAGCCCCCATTACCCATGAACGCAAAATTCGAAATGGCCGCCAACGCCATTTTGAATAGCATGAAATAGTATATCTATGGAAGAATATCAGTCACAGACACATATAAGGTGTCTAACTCCACTAATTTGAACATGATTAATCCATTGGAATCGTTATTTTGTACATTAGAAGCAATTCTGACCTTGAATTCCAAGATGGTCGCCGGCTGCCATCTTTAAAAACAAAACATATCATATCTCGAATACTAGATGGGCTACAAGAACAAATGAGGTGTCTCATCTAACTATTTGAATGGTTAAGGTATACTCAACTACAAAAGAAACGCACATGCCGGATAAGTTTGAAGGGTTATATCTTGGAAACTATATGAGCTAGAAAGATATTTTTTGTAGGTGACTGAAGCTAAAATGTTGAATTTAACAAATCGCTTCGGCGGCCATTTTGAATTTTGCGTTCTGGCAGAGTTAGCCGTCATTTTCCAGAGGGTCATTGGGACTATTTTTTTAGTTAAAGATGTCAGTTAAACAAATCCATCATAAAAAAGGTAGAAACAAAGTGGTCACGGATTCCAGGGATATGACTCTGCTACTTTAAATAAATATTCATGTGTATATCTACTCTAACCAATACGATATTGTCGTAAAATTACCTCTTTAAATCTGGACTGACAACCCATGTAAGAGATGACCACAGAGGATAAAGTTACGTAATAATATAAATAATTCACTCGAAACTAAAGTCCCGAGACTGTAAATGCTAAATTCACCCGGGACATATAATTCCTCGTAGCCCGTTCGTTAATATTAACTCTATATCTGCAGACAGTTGTGGTGTATGATCCTATTTCAGGGTCAGATAAACTTCATATTCAATGTGGTTTTGTGTGAAGTTCAAAGTTTATACAATTCAAAGTGCCACAAACTTCTCATTTAGTAAATGATAATATGTTAAAATGGCGTTTGCTTCTGCTGTCAATATGGAACTGTTATCTGGTAATCGTGAAGATATTGTTCTGGATCCAATGACAGTGGCACCAGCAACTGCGTCACCATCCTTTGATCCATCTGTAAATATAGATTTATTAGTGTTTTTTAATTGATTGTATTCTTGTTGGTAAATTAATTGGTTAGCATCTGATTTCTTTAGTTTTGTTAATGCAAGGTCTACCTCCGGCTTTGCCACTTGACAAGGAGGAGAGGAGCTATATCTTGGGAGTTGATTTCTTATTGTAAAGATCTCCGTAGAGAGGATTCAATATGCATTCAAAAGCTGTATTTGACTGATTAGAATATAATTTAGTGTAAGACAATTTCAGACGGCGATGTTTTTGAGAAGGTTCATCCGCTTCTACATACAGATTGCGAATGGGAGATGTTCTAAAGGCTCCAAGGCAAATCCTCAGGCCCTGATGATGGATAGTAAAATTACTATCGGAGACGTAATCAAGTTTTGAACGGACCAGTGACCTGTACAAGTGTAAGAGGGTTGTTTGATCCCCTCACCACCTTGAATTAGAAGCTACTTTCAATAAATCGAGTGCATTCAGACATTTAGCTTTAAGGTTTTTAATATGTGGTAGAAAAGCGTAACGGTTATCCAAAAAAGTACCAAGAACTTGGCCCCTTCACAGCTTCGATAGGGGTGCTATTTAAAAATAGTTCAGGGTCCTTATGCGGCTTATATTGTCTGCGGAAATGTATGCAGTTAGTTTTTTATTTGGAAAATTTAAACCCGTTTTCAAGACACCACTTGTGAATTTTATTAATACATAACTGTAATTGCCTCTCTATTGTGTGCATATTTTACCCGGGGTAGAATAGGTCTTCAGCAACCCATACTTGCCGTAAAAGGCGACTATGCTTGTCGTAAAGGGCGACTAACGGGATCGGGTGGTCAGGCTCGCTGACTTGGTTCATACATGTCATCGATCCCAAATGCGTAGATCGATGCTCATGATGTCAATCACTGAATTGTCTGGTCCAGACTCGATAATTGTACAGACCGCCGTATATAGCTGGAATATTGCTGAGTGCGGCGTAAAGCAGCAGACGAACGAGTCATATTTTTACTACGACAAGATATATTAAAATCATCTGCAAAAAGTGATCCATCTACTGAATCAGTTAAAACTTTTAACAAACTGTTAATTTTTATACCGAATATAGTGACAAACAAAATACTACCTTGTGGGACACCCTGATACTGATTGTAATGATCAGACAGGGTAGGAACCACTAGGACTTGATGGGCACGCCAGAACCTATGATTGTGGGTTCGGATCCCGGTTCGCCCCAGTTATGTTTTTAGGTTTGTCAGAACCATACCCGTGCTCGTGGGTTTCACTGAAGTGGTAAACGTCTGAGACCTGCATCACGTCGGGCTTTCCTCCCACATTAAGCTGTTACGCCGTGATATTACTGGAATACTGTTAAAAGCTCACACACTTGGCGGCGCCAAGTCAGACTATGCTTGTCGTAAGAGGCGACTAACGGGATCGGGTGGTCAGGCTCGCTGACTTGGTTGATGCTGAATGCGGCGTTAAACAACAAACAAACAAACAAATCATAACTGTAATGGTATATAAATTATTCGAAAACATACATGTACGTCAATAACAGTTTATCTACTGTTACAAACTACTGAAATTATTATCAAACAACAAACAAACGAACAAACAAAACATATATACGGCTTGTAAATAATCGAGTCTGGGGCAAACAATCTAGTGACTTGTAGCATCAGAGAATCTCTTCAGGTGAACAAACATGGCCAATGAAAATGTGAACAAAATTACTAACAAAGAAACAAACAAGCAAATCATTCACTTGTATCGAATACGTACTGCGAACCGTGAGTTCAGTGCTGCGTCGATGATGTTAGAGCTATATCCTGTGAAGACAAATATGATTGACTGAACAATAGTGTGTATAATGTACGCCGCTTAATGAGTGGGTGCGTGTCAGCTTCAAATGACTGGGATTCGAACTCAATCAATATCAATCAAATATCAATAATGACAAACAAACGCAATAATGTCTTTTTATTAACAGGGCCTTCAACCAATCATAATGAAAATCCTGTATATATATATATTGTATCTGACAGTGAGTCATCATGTTCTATATATATTTCTTCCAGCGCATGATGTTAAAATATAAAACGATCTAATCTAAAGCTGTACTGTCACTAACCTTCCCTGTGAAACACGGGGACATATAACATACATGTATGCTACAATTCAATACAGCAAATTGCATCGGACATTTTTTCTTGAATGATGTACCAAATTGGATGTGTCTACCATAAAACGTTTTGATATTTTTACTAAGATGTCTTATGCTGATCAAAAACGCTTTTGAGCTTATGAGTCACAAGACACAAGGGAATTTGAAAATTGGAAAATTAATTTTATCCCTCTTGTCAAACAGTCGTGGGGATAGTTTTTGTGACTCTAATCTAAATATAAAGCAAAGGAGTCGATTTCACTCAGTAGCTGTACACATTAACTGGTCTACACATGATCCATACTTACTGTCTGTTACATTTCAACAACCATATTGATTTTTACATAAAGGGATTGACGTGCATTACGTGGTTGGTTGTTTCTTGTTTAACGCAGCACTAAACAATATTCCAGCTTTATGACGGCGGTCTGTAACTAACAGAGTCTGGACCTGACAATCCATTGATTGACATCATGAGCATCGATCAGCGCTATTGGGATACGATGGCATGTATCAACCAAGTCAGCGAGCCTGACCACCCGATCCCGTTAGTCACCTCTTACGACAAGCATAGTCACCACCGTTTTGACAGGGTTGCTTGTAAAGAACCCAGACTGGACTAGGCAGATTTGGAAACACTAGCAGTCGAACAGTCAGAACATGATGACTCACTGTCATATACAATTAGTCTGTTCTTACAACAAGCATGGGGCCTTCCAAAATCACGCCTCTTGTCTTCTTTATCCATGTGTCAGAAACAATGTCAACCAGTTGACATTAAGTTAATCTGTATTGAAATTTGAACAGTTTGCAAACCGTAATTGTTACTATGACAGATATGTTACGTGAAAAATGGCGCCATCACCTGGATTATGTCGTCACGCTTCTTGGGTTTGGAATCGGCTCCGGATCATTCGTGAAATTCCCCTACCTGTGCATGAGAAATGGAGGAGGTACTATTCTTATGTACATTCTTATACTAAGATCAAGTTAACATTCGCATCATAGCATTTTGGGTTGTGTACTCCCCAGGGAGCTGAGAATGATTCTTGAGTGGACACTGATCCAGTGACCGGGGTAATTATGGTGCTTTGAAATTCTGTATGGTGTGGAAATATGCGCAATATAAATGACGTAGTTGTAGTAAGTAGTGTTTGTAATTACTATTTTGTACTTTTCGTCAATACTCACAGTTAAGCCAAACTAACAGTTTGTTATTTGCCTAAATGAGTCACGAATTACATAGTAATCACCATGATTTGTTTGATAGGGATTACTTAGAAGTTGACGGATGACAAAGTAGACACAATTGATGGACAACAACTATTATGGATAACACAATTTATGGATAACAGCTTGACAGCGGTGTGGGGAACTATACCGAAACGTCGCCATTGCAGTATTAAAGAAGTTGTTATCCATTAATTATGTCTACTTTATAATCACCATGAGTTATCATCTGATTATTTTCTTGATTCAAGGGTCATTCTTGATACCGTTTATCCTGTTTACCTTTATGGGTACTGTGCCTGTTGTGTTTCTGGAGATGGTGATTGGACAATTTTCTGAAAGGGGGCCAGTTGAAGTTTGGAATTTGTGCCCAGCATTTAAAGGTAGGAAGACACTCTGGGTCAAAAGCAGCATTCCAAGGTCAGTAAGCTAATGCTTATTGGATAGTTGCGTCAGGAAGGTTGCATCAAAATTTTGTTTTCACACTTCTTTTGTTAAGTGATATGAGCCATTATTGTAAATATATATATTTAATGAAAGTGCATTTCGTTTGTTTTCAGAGTTCAAATCTAAGAAGTTGTGTTGTTTAAAATTCTCCGATTGATACTTATGAATATACATGGCCAATACGTGTTATATATATATATATATATATATATATATATATATATATATATATATATATATATATATATAAATTCAAAATTATATAATCTTCTCCTTGGTACTTAAGGTAATTGGTTTCATATCTTAAATGTGTGTTATGACAACATTTAACACTCCGAGAATGACAGATGTGATCTGCAGTATGTTCGGCATGTTAGAATGATTTGTATATCCCCAAACGACGTTTTGTTTGAAATGTGAGATAAGACAGGCACGTGCCCGCTCCACTTATGTAGTCTATCTAGGTTCCAACACCTTCTACGCAGTGCTTGACCAGCCCAGTGTCACTAGAACATCACAAAATATTCCACAGGTTTCTATAACGCTGGTCATCCTTCCACGCCTTTCCAGAGGTTTACAGATAATTCGAGCTTCTAAATATAATGACCTCTTCACCACTGCTGACATTAAATAGTACCACATTCCTGACAACTAATCATCGCCCAAATACATTGCGACGAACTTCTACTAAATCTCAACAGGAACAATGTAACACAGTTACAATCCTTGTTTAACAATAAAATACACTGCCATATAGCAGTAAATACTAGCGTATACGTCGTAAAACATTTTCTCTCGTGACAAAAGACACCTAATGGCGTTGTCATGATTCAAGTCATGTATAATTTATTCTCATCGCAATATGCTTGAAATGTTACCGAGTTGGCGTTTTACAATAATTCACTTACACAGGCGTAGGCGTGGGCACAGTCATAGGGACGTGGATTCACACAACATACTTCACTGTCATCTTTAGTTGGTTCGTGTACTACTTCTACGCGTCATTCTCCAACCCCCTACCTTGGGCTCACTGTGGCAATGAATGGAACACTCCCTCCTGTATCTCACAGCATGCTGATGTCAACACAACGACAGGGCTCAACATGACGGAAGAGGTTACCATCTACACCATGGCCAACCACACTGCAGACATCAATGGTACAGTGGCTGGAATGACAGCGGCGGAGGAGTTCTGGAGGTATGCGTTAGTTACGGCTGTATCGTCAACGTGTACGTCTGTGTCAAATTGTGTGAGAGTCAGAGTGTGTGTGAGAGAGAATCAGTATCCAAGACAGATGCCATATTGGGTATAAAATAAATATAATTATGCTATTTCTACAGTATTCATAAATGTTAATGCATCTCTACATCGACGTATCTAAACAATATGTGTTTGTTTAAATATCCACAAATCAAATATGTATACCTTGCTAATTATGGTTAAGGGAGTAACTTGTTTGCCTTTTGACAGCTTGTTGCAATAAGTTCTATATTGTTTTCTTTGTTCTGCTGTAAGAGAGGTTCTGGATTTCAGGAAAGGGGTAAACATTAGACATACATCGCTTCGGGCATTTCTCAAACCTCACACACAAAAACATCCGATATAAATGAAAAACTGTTTTCCAAAGGAGTGTTGAACCAAAACGTATTCATAACATTTACGTGAAGTTTGATGGTGGATAAAAAACAACATCAGCCTCAAAGATTTTGTGAATTTAGAGAAAATGTCGAAAGTGCAATAGCACCAAGTCTAGATAAAGTGAAGCGCGTATGAGTCAGAGTGACGTTTAAAAAAGGTGTGGTTTGTTTTTGTAGCTAAAAATATTTGATGTCTTATAATTTATTAAGCTAACAATTTCTTCATCACAACGTTTCTATTATAGGGTATAGAAATAGTGTGTCCAAAAAACAGAAATGAACTAATATAAATGGAATAATTAGTGGAAATAAAAGCTCACAAATAAAAAAACCACATTCATACGAAATCTCAACTTGAACGTAGAGACCATTGTATGATTCCGACTATGCCATAAGCTTGCATGTCTTAATCAATATTGATGATGCCACGTGTCCGCGAAAGGTGGGCGTGACCTGCCCAACAGATGGGACCCGTCACAAAGACGGACAAAACGCACGTCAATTGTTCACCTGAACATTTGTAAAGGTCTCCACATCTCTCCCATAGAACGTTTTAAAAACTCTACTGAGTACTTGAATGTTATAACCCTGATCAAACAACTTTTAAACAAGAGTCCTATGGCGCTCTTTGAAATCTTTGTAGACAGAGCCACATTGTAACAAGACACCGGCTGTCCTTGTCCTAAAATGATGAAAAGGACTGTAGTTGCTCAAAGCTTCAAAGTAGTCAAATCAGTCTGAGTATCGTGAAATTGAAAACAGGAAAAAAGTGTTGTTCAAGTCGGTCGCAAACAGATAAATAGATGACGATTGCCCGCCATCTTGACATTTGGACACCATCTTGGATTGTCAAGCTTAAGTGGTTAAAGCTTTGTCTGAGTTTACACACCATAAGTATTACTGATGCACAATTTTGAACGACGCATTTGAACAGTTAGAGGTGGAATATATGTAAGGATCGGATGGTTTCTTCAAGAGTTGCCTCACTGTGTAGCCAGCAGTTCGAAATTGACCATACAGAAGGAATCGAGCTACATAACCAAACTTCACATCATGTGAAAGCTCTGTACGAGATAAATTGATCTGTCTATTTATGACCATTTACGAACAAATGGGCTTCAAATATTTCTTGAGAAACATCTGGTGGATTAAATTTGTTTCACAAATATCACTTTGTTTGTATTATTTACATGCTTGTGCATGTGTTTGTGATGGTGAGGCAGAGTATGCTCACCATTTGCATTTACGACCGTGACATAGATTAGTTGTTTGACTTCTCACCGTCTGTTATCCGTACAAGTAAAATACTGGTCGTAACGTCAGTGAACAAAAAAGAAAATTCCTCCCCACAAATGATATCATTTGACTTTAATGTCATTACCAAGAAAATGCCAAATAGATTCCTCAGCGAAAGGCTATGTACATTAATCTGGGCTTGTAGAATGAGAGAAGTGAAACCCTTTCCCTAAAACCTTCTTGAGCAGACTTCATTGTACGAATATGACTGTATCATAGGGCATGCATTTCACCAAACTGAAAGTATTGGAAATATGTGGAGTAATGAAATGGTTTCTAGGAATTCTACAAATAGCGGAAGCAGCTGCTTCTGAATTTGCATGTGTTTGCATTCACGTTTGTAGTTTATTATCAACCTCTTTCTACATTCAGTAATAAATTTTATTTTTTAGATTTCAGGTTCTGCAAATAACAGATGGCTTAGAAACCATTGGGACTATAAGACTGCCTCTACTTATTTGTTTGGCTTTCACCTGCTCATTGATATTCCTTTGTGTATTTCGAGGAATCAAAGTAACTGGGAAGGTAGGCCTTGGGGTTTCTTATTGATGTGGAGTACTGTGGGCGGCAATGTAGCCATGTACCATAAAGCGCGGGCTTTTAGTTATTACACAGAAATTTTGAGTACGATTTCCATCATGACCAAAACGAGTGAAGCCAATTTCCTGTGTTTCCAAGCTAGACATTGCTGGAATGTTGCTAATGTGGCGTAAACGTTTACAAACACACGCACACGCACACGCACACGCACACGCACACGCACACACACTCTGCTCTGGAGCACTGAACTTCACTCGTCATTCTCTAAACCTAGAAAAAATGTTAAGTCCCACCTGCTCAGGACGCAAATATATGACATGGAAACCAGAGTAATTTTGTTTCGATAAGCATGAACAACAATCATGACAGATGAGAAAGTGATATTCATAATATTGGTGGATATTTCATTTCATGTGTATTAATGAGACATAAATATGTTGCTAAAATGACCGTTATAGCTCCATGTCTTCCTTTGAGGAGATTCACAATAGTGTATACGCCACATGTCTAGGTGACTGACTAAACCCTACCCCTCATGTCTGTGTTTGTTTCACAGCTAGTTTACGTGACGGTGGCAATACCTTGTATTCTTGTGACCATCTTCCTCATCCGGGGATGTCTGCTGCCGGGATCAGCAGATGGAATATATTTCTATATCGTTCCAAACTTTGAAATCCTGTCAAGACCTCAGGTAAGAAACAACATCAAATACATACCCTTGCCGATGCCACTGGACCTAACGGAGTGTCAGGAGTATTCATGAGTGTGTAAGGAGTATTAATACCTTTGTCTCTGTCAGGAGCATTCTAGTTCAGTGAGTGACATGTTATCATGTTGCATATAAGTCGGAAATTATGAATCGAAGGCAAGGAAAGGAAGAGTCGGTTTCTGAGGGGAAAACACTTCAGTTGAGGAACCTTGTCCTACCCAGAAATAACCTTTGAACTTGCATGCTGTAGCTTTGACCCACCATCTATAGAAGTAACCTGCTTTAAGACCAAACATCATGAGGTTTGGAGAACAATTGGTGATCTTATGGTCACTGGCTATGTATTCCATGAGAATGTATTAAAGATAATCACCCCAATCAAAAGGCTCTAGGTAGATGAAGATGGATATAATTTGTATCAGGGCATCAAAAAAGGGTGATTGAATCGTTCCACTAAGGGGATCGGGTGGTCAGCCTCGGTGGTTTGGTTGATACATGCCATCATATTCCAGTTGCGTGGATTGATGCTCATGATGTCAAACATTGATTGTCTGGTTCAGACTTGATTATTTACAGACCGCTGTCATATTGCTAGAATATTGCTGTGAGTGAGTGAGGCGTTAAACAACAAACAATGTGACTAAATCCCCTGGAAAGCAATGTGTCTAGCACGGTAAGGGCAACATGGTCTTGTATAGCAAAATATAAGACACGTATGCCTGTGATGTCGGGTCAGTGGAATGCGAAGAAACGTTCTCACTGTCTGAGAAGAAACGTTTACGCTACTGGTGTTCCGCGGGTCCTTTCTGACTGTGGTAAAATCAGTGAAAAAATGTCTTCCAGCTGGCTGACATCAAAGATGTTTGAAGGTAACGTTGTAGGCACAGTTTCACGCACGCCTATGCATCTTCGGTCGTCAAACGACGTCACTGACGTTGAGGGGTTATACGTGCATTCAGTTATTGCAATCCTTTGTAGCAAATGTTGTGCTCTCTGATAAATTGTCTTGCGTTTCTGTAGGATATTCATACTTCCAGCTCTGTCAGGCATGATCCTACATGGATCTCTATCAGGGCTTTCCCATACTTGCATTTGTCAGGCATATTCATACTCGTATCTCTTTCATGTGAAGACGACACCGTGCGCCTTTTAACTATAAAACATCCCTCTCCTTTTGTGTAGTAATCCCGAGGAGTGCAGTGTCATTTTAGAATATTTCATCTACCTCCCAACTATCATGTTGTATTTCAATTGAAAAAACGATGTGATATTAGTATAATGAATACACACGTTCTGTAACCCGTAGGTGTGGATTGAAGGATGTAATTTCGCTCTTTATTCTCTTGGTCTCGGCATGGGGTCCATCGTGACTTTGTCAAGCCACAGTAAATTTCGAAACAACTGTTTCAGGTAAGGCGAGAGGAATGACCATTAATATGTATGGCAGGTGTGACTATCTGGTGTAAGACTCAAAACATCTTACTAATGTTTAATTTCAACTGAAAACTTACTGTCAACTGTATTTGATTTATTAACACGTCTGTATCATCTTTAAATCGTCTCTACCATCAACTGCAGATTGCAAAAAGAATATGTGAAAATCAGCGCTAAAGAGACAACGGTTTTAGAAGTATTAATGTTAGATTAGAGAGCTAATATTGTTAGACATTTGCATGTGTACATTTTTGTGATGGTAGTGATAATATGTTAAGAGCTGTAGCTGTATTGTTAAAAGAAAATACTATTATTAGACAGCTGTGTTTGTGGTGGTGCCATTTAATACACGTTTCTTGATTTCGATTACTCCAGATAATAGGTAAAGAAAAGTCTCTTATAACTTGAGGGGCGATTGGGTGGCCTTGTGGTTAAAGCGTTCGCATCATACTGAAGACCAAGGTTCGATTCCTGATATGGAACCATTTCTGGTATCACCCGCCGTGATGTTGATGGAATATTGCTAAAACGGCATAAAACCATATCCTACTCACTCTAATAACATTGTTGCTAGCAACAACGATTGTCTGTTGATAATATTTGTTACTTCATTTTTCTTCGACTCTAGAGATTCCATAATTGTCTGCATTGGAGACATGCTAGTTACACTTCTCATTGGATTTGCCTTCTTTGCCATCATCGGTCATGTTGCCTACCAGAGGGGGGTAACTGTGGAAGCATTTGAATCTTCAGGTAGATATCAAGTCAGTGCTTTCGGGTGTTCCTATCGTGAGTGAGTGAGTTGGGTTTAACGCCGCTTTCAACAGTATTCCAGTTCTATCAAGGCGGGTCAGCTTAATGTGGGAGGAAAGCCCGAAGTGATGAAGGTTTCGGACGTTTATCACTTCGGTGAAACCCACGAGCACAGGTATGGTATGGTGCTGACAAACCTAGAAAAATAATCGGGGCGAACCGGGATTCGAACCCTTTATCATAGGTTTCTGGCGTGCCCAAGGGACGCGACTCTAATTGGAAATCGCGGCGCCTTAGACGACTGGGCCCCACGTGCCCCTCTATGTTATGATGCCATCTGAAAGGTAGTGGTATATATTAAGGGGATCTACAATATTTCTTTTAAAAATAATCTGATGTTAATGTTCCTGTTAAAAAATGTAATTCACAATAAGGACCTGAATCAAGTGTTCTTCATTTCAGGATTCAATCTTGCCTTTATCGTCTTTCCGCAAGTTTTGAATTACCTCCCCTTGCCGCAGTTGTGGTCTGCCTTGACGTTTCTGACGCTGATCACCCTTGAACTTGATACTCTGGTAAATACAGATTTAATAGTTTGTGTGACTGACGTCATTGGGTAATTAACATATAGCCAGAGCAGAGTTAACCCTGCCCCAAACAATAAGTCGAGATTTAAGACGTCTTTCTTAACCACATGCTTCTCATAACATGACCGATTACACTTGCGGAGATATTGATGTTTTCCATACCGTGAGTGACCATGCCGAAAGTATTTTGCCACACTTTGTATGTATCAATGTTTCTACATACATTTAAAACAATTTTAGTTAAGTTTGCATGTTTTCGTATTGCTGGAATTGTGTAGATCTACACATGGTTTCTCATTGCGCTGTACAAAAATATTGTTTGAAGAAAGAAATACATACCTGAAGGTTGACCTGAAAAGTATCGGTCAGTTTCAGAAGTCTTCTAGGACTTAATGTATAAATGTGTTCAAGGTTCCGCCGATTGAGAACGTTGTGGCAGCTTTAAGAGACCGGTTTCCACAGCTATCACGACGGCGCTGGCTTGTTATCGCTGTATTACTTTCAACCAACTTCACCTTTGGTCTCAACTACATTACACAGGTGACAGTCGTTTTGCAACATAGGCGCAGCTTGTATTTCTTAATCGTGGCTTATATAATTAGGCTGGCGAACTAGCATTTCCACGTTTCTTGTCAACTTCATGAAAACGTGAATGCCATTAGAATGCATCAAGGCAGGGGCGCATTGGTTGACATTAAAGATGACAAAATTCTATCACTGTCCTCAATGTCTAAAGGCGACAACTTTCGTGTGATAAAAGTACAACAAACATTAAAAAACACGCCCATTGAGAGTGTTTTCAGTTTTCCAACCATCTCATATTATGATTTCTAGGGCGGGATGTACGTGTTGACCCTCGTGGACTGGTTCGCCTACTTCCCGTCGAATGTCCTCTTCTCTACCCTTGAATGCATCGTGGTTGGATGGTGCTATGGTAAACATGTGATACTACAGATGCATCACTTATACAATGCACTGTCAGCCATTTGCTTCGTTTGCTTGTGTTCACAAGTGTAACACACAGCATGTCCAAATATTTGCTATGCAATTGTTTCACCCAGAAACTATAGGATCATTGTTTAGAGCCATTGATGCACGAATGAAAATTGAAGAAATATAACAAACATTGTCAAATTGTTTCTCTTACTGTGCAGATTCAGTAAAGATATTTCGCAGAAAGTACTTGTGGCATGGATGTGTTTCAGACAGTATGTTTGTACATTGGTGTAACGTGACTTCATTGTGATATTCTGCGTATCATTAAATCACTGCAACCCATTCCATTTAAGGTACGGACAGACTACAACGCGACATCAAGTCGATGTGGGGGAAGGCTATCCCGCGGATTATGATGATAGCCATCAAATGTGTGTGTCCGATGTTGTTGGTGGTAGGTGATTAACCATATTTGTAAAAGTATAGAACCTACGGTCTTATTATGTACCTGTTCCACACATAAACCACAGTAGTTGACATGTTTGTAATACATGAAATGTATTTCAGTTGGAAGTCGTATTATGGCATGGCTGTGTAGTGATGGAGTAAAAGCCTAATTGGTGCTGACGTTCACCATGAGACAGGGCATGGTGCTGATAAACCTGGAATCATATTCCAATAAGATGCAGCGGAACTACAGCAAGACAAATATAAACGATACGAAATGGAGGACATGTTTCTTCAAACATCGACTTGAGTTGGGAACCCACTGAGCCAAACCTGAAAAATATGTTTGTCTCAACTTTAGCTAATGAATTTGGCCAAGTAAAAATGTTTGGCTTTTTGAGAATGTAAACTACATTGGAAATGACATATGGCCGAAAGATTGACTAGCAACTGTTTATTTTTATCTAACTTACATGTACTATATAATGCCCAGCGTCTATAAGGAAAAGCTATCACAGACATCTTCCATCAAAACACGTCAACATTCTGGCAGTTGTTTGAGTTTGTGGTATTTACTTCAAAACGTGACTCGTGGCGAGTGAGTGAGTGAGTGAGTATGGTTTTACGCCGCTTCTAGCAATATTCCAGCAATATCACGGCGGGGGACACCAGAAATGGGCTTCACACATTGTACCCATGTCGGGAATCGAACCCGGGTCTTCGGCGTGACGAGCGAACGCTTTAACCACTAGGCTACCCGACCGCCCCTGACTCGTGGCGAAGACAGAAGTAACTTTTTTTGAAAATACGGTTTAAATTTTAAGTACTGTTTTACGGCGTATACGCATGTGAGTGAGTGTCGTTTTACGCCGCTTTTAGCAATATTCCAGCAATATCACGGCGGGTGATACCAGAAGTGGGCTTCGCTCATTGTACCCACGTCGGGAATCTAACCCGGGTCTTCGGCGTGACGAGCGAACGCTTAAACCACTAGGCTACCCCACCGCCCTGTGTGTCAAATAATTGTTTTAACCTTCAGCATAAAAGCGTAATTCATAAATAAACGAAACAGCTACAAGGTCACAGTCTTACTTAATATTCATGATTTCTATTGTTTCATGTTCATCACATCCATTGGGACTCAGAGAATATAGCTGGAATATTGCTGAGTGCGGCGTTAAACCACAAACAAACAAAAAATCTCATAGATTCAGTTCTTCATTTTTATCTTACCATGCCATTCTCTACAACAGTTTGTGTTCTGCTACTCCCTGTATTCCTACCGCCCTCCCAAGTATGGAGACTATGACTACCCTCCATGGGCCACAGGAATCGGATGGATGGTGTCTCTGGCTTCAATCCTGCCCTTTCCGGCTGTCTTTGTGTGGAGAGTATGGCGGTCACATGGAAATACCGTTAAAGAGGTTGTTGCTCAGCTAAATCTCTTTCTCCTTTAAGAACTTCTTTTAGTTTCGCATCAGCGTTCTCTTTATGTCGAGCAATATTTCAGAGTTCCAGCTTTTGGTGTCTGAATTTCAAAATTTTTGAGGTACAATTGGACCTGCTCTTTCTACGAAGATTACAAAGAAGGTCATACGACTCTTCCTCAAACCTTGCTTGCTCAGAGTTAATTCAATAAATGTTTTTGAATTTTTTTATAGTGGACATTCATGTAAATGGCATTTCCAAGTATGACGCATCAGATCCAAATGTATAAGTGTTTAAAGTGTTACTCAATGGCGCCCTGAATATATGTTTCAGAAATTCCTGACATCGATGGAACCAAACAAGAAATGGCGTGAAGCATCTGGTCGTGGCACACAGGAGGACATTGCTTATCCCATGACTATTGTGGAGGAGCTAGCCTAAGAGGATTCAGTGTTAGATAACTTGGGTCAGAACACGCGTTGTTTTTTTTATTGAAAGGTATTTAATCACAAGCAAAAGGATTAGGCACAACACAGGTCGCCCTCTACTAAAATATACTGAACAACAAAAGTTCCTGTGACATTGAATAAAATTCAATGCAAAGTTATGTTTTTTACCAAATCTGAAACAATTTCGGTTTGTAAAAGATAAAAGACTTCTGTAAGTGTTCAAATTGTTTAATTTGCCAAACTGACTTCAGAAAATGCGTGATTTCATTAAAAAAAACATGAACATGAACATGCCAAAATGTCAATTTACAAATCAATAGCGTGCGTGTCCACCTCTGGTTGCAATGCAAGCAACCCATCTTCGTCTCATGGAATGGAAAAGGCGTCGCACAAAGTCCTGTGGGATATCTGCCGATATCTGCTGGAGCATGTTTCGGGTGTCTGCGGAACACGTGGTTGACGTCGAAGGCGCCGATCCATCTCATCCAACATGTGCTCGATTGGTGAGAGATCAGGGTGAGCGAGCCAGCTAGGGGATGACATTCACGTTGTTTTGTTGAAGAGAATCCTGAACAAGTCGAGCAATATGAGGCCGGGCGTTGTCATGTTGAAAGGTAATGCCTAGGCCATGACGACGCAAAAACGGTAGAAGAACAGGGCCGATGATCTCGTCGCGGTAACAATGTCCAATGAGATTTACCTCTACCACTATCAAACGGGTCCTCTGTCTTGCTATAATCCCACCCCTTACCATAATGCTGCCGCCCCGGAACCGACCTTCTTCCATGACACAATGATTTACGTAACGTTCACCTCGACGTCGGTACACTCGAATTCGTCCATCGCTGTGGCTGAGGTGAAAACGAGACTCGTCAGTGAATAGAAATTGTCCCCACTGCATGGCCGTCCAGCGGATACGCACCACTGTAGACGAGCTTGACGCTGGTTTCCTGTCAAAATGGGACATCTGGCGGGTCTTCTGGCGACAATCCCTGCACATCTTACGCACGGTTTGTGAAGATATTCGTCGAAGGCCAGGGATGTTTCTTGCAGTCACAGTTGCTGGCTTGACTCGATTTCGTAGGTATGTTGTTTGAATCCAGTTGTCTTGTCGATTATTGGTTACGCGTGGTCTGCCACTCCGAAGATGGTCTCTGACTGCATTCATATGTTGCCAACGTTGCCATAAACTCCAAATGGTGTTTCTGTGGACGTTAAATTGTCTTGCAACATCAAGTTGACTCGATCCTGCTTCAAGCATACCAATGGCTTGCAGACGCTCATTTTTTGACAGGCGTGGCATTACGTAGTGTTGAATAATTGCGTAATGTTTTTGTTTTTCTGAGTGGTTGTCAGCACGATGCTAAACAATGCATATGGAATCCCATTAACGCACATGTTTTTATACCCATTCTTTGGTAGTGAAATGCATGGGGCTTGCATAAAAGTCAACTTTTGCATGGAATGCATGCTTTTCTGTAGCAGTTGCGTTTTTGTGACTTGATTCCATACATGTACTACAATATTGAAAACCAAACTTGTTTCCAAAATACACTAAAATGTTGGTGTCACAGGAACTTTTGTTGTTGAGTATATTTACATGATTCACGGGTCACGTATTCCCAGAAAAAAATGGTGTACAGCTTACGCCACGTGCGTTGTTTCAAAGCACTCCAGTTAATGCATGGCATTTAAATATAAGTATTGGTTCTGTTGAAAACGTTATTACTTACATGTAGGCAGACAAGAGGATGACGGAAAAATAAAGATTTGATGGTAATTATAGGAATAGGTATTTTTTACATGTCTTGTTATTTTCGTTTTACCATACTGTGCGAGCTATTGAGATGTTAAATTCTAAATAAATGTATTGCAATGAATCAATCGCTATTTCACAAATAAGACAATAGTAGTGTTGTTGTAAAATATAGTTTGTAAATTGTTTTAATATTAAAACATAAAGTTACAAAGATATTAAATGTAAATAGTGTTGTCACGACTGATGAAGACAGCTGTCTTTAAGAATACAATTTTCAGTAATCTATGTTAGGATGATTACAGATGTTTGATATTTGGAATTAACACACCTGTGAATGGGCGGAAAATGATTGTTTGGTGAAATTCTCAGTGTTTACAATTATTTTGTTTTTCTATTTTATTTTTCATTTTAATCTCTGTATGAATCAACATTATTATTGATTTTATATTTAGGCTGGGTCTTGTAACATTTTTGTCTGATTTTTAAATAACGAAATACTTTGGTTCTAGTGTTTTGTTTTGTCATTTGCAAGATGAAAAAATTTAATTGCCCTCAAGGTGATCTTGATATGGAATAGTCACCTATCATAACGAGCAGGTGAAGAGAATGAAATCTGCACCGGTGAACTTCGAAATTATATTTACAATTATATAATTTTCTCAAAATATTTTATCAACACAGGCACATTTAGAATAATATGAACAATATTTGTTTCAAGTTAATTCTTGATTTACATCTTAAACCATGTTTTTGACTACAGTGCGATTACCTCCCTTACATAATGAGTTTGATGAACAATGTCTTTCCACAGTAAAGGTAAACAGTAGGTCAAGCCGCATATTACTTGTACTGATCTGGCATGTGGGCACTCGTTCCCTCTCATAATTGCTGGGTGGTGGGGTAACCTAGTGGTTAAAGCATTCGCTCGTTATGCCGAAGACCTGGGTTCGATTCCTGACGAGGGTTCAATGTGTGAAGCCCATGTCCCCCGCCGTGATATTGTTCGAATAATGCTGAAAGCAGCGTAAAACCATACTCACTATCATAATTGCGGAAAACATTCTCAGAAATGTCACGCATTTCTGGGTTTAAATGAAACTATAACAGAACATCTAACAAATTTTAAGAACTGCTAGACCAATAAGGGATATGTTACAAACAATTGTTTTAATAAATTAGAAATGCGTGTATGACCCACCAGTGGCTAAATTGATGACGTAAATCTTGTTGGGTATCATGCAGGAAGCAGAGGTACTGTAAGACCCCATGATCCCCAGCGAGGTAGCCTAGCTTTGGTTACTGGTGGCCTATAGCCCGTGTTTTAAAACTGTATATATACTGAACCGCGAAAGAAACGTCACCCCAAGTAACATTGCATGAAAA